TAAGTACTCGTTTCTGAATTGTAATGCACATTGTAGGGAGTCTGCTTGGTCTGCGATTTTTAATGTATTATTTGTATGAATTACGCAATGCATATTGTAGATGGACCCCATTTAGCAGGGCACCGTTGGGAAATCGACATATGCGAGCAGTTACGCCACATTACCCACTAATTACACACCGCTACCAAGGAAGTAGTCCGATTTCAGGGACCCGAGAGAACAACTGGTACGATGACGGATGTAACGCAGCTGCAGAGAAGAAAGATATCGCCTACAGGGCCACGTGAACTATGTGAGACCGGTAAAGAGAACTGAAGAGGGAAGACATATTTGCCGCAATAAAAAGAAAGAGGCCGAAACACGTGAGTGAAAAGAGCTCAAAACAGGAAAAACGACCAACAATTTTACCTAAGAGTTAGGCGACTTACGGAAGGTTCCAAGACCGGGGCGAACTACTGTAAGAACAACCATAGCGACCTAGTGATCGATGTCCAGAACATACTCAATTTATGGAGGGAACACTATTTAATGGCAGTAGCACTGAATATAGTGGAGAAGAAAAACTCGAACCAACTGTCGATGATGATGTAGTCGATGTTCCACCGCCGGACTAGAAGGAGGTACGAATAGGAATTACGCGGCTGACAAACAACAAGCTGGTTGAGCTGACAGCCTGCTAGCTGAGCTATTCAAGTACGACCGGGAGGATCTGATAAGGTGTATGCATCAACTCGTATGCATAAATGGTCAGATCAACGCATGCCCCACTACTAGAATTTAAGTGTGCTCTGTCCAACACACAAGAAAGGCAACCCCGCTATACGCGCCAACTACCACGTCATCAGCCTTCTATGCATAGGTTACAATATCTTACCGGAGCGTATTTTATGAAAGACTGAAGCCCATCGTGACGAACTGATTGGGCCTTATCAGTGTGGCTCTAGACCTGGCATCTACACCTTACGCCAAATCTTGGAAAGGACCCGCAAAAAAAATATTGACACTCACCACCTATTTTTCGACTTCAAAGCCGAATTCTACAGTACAAAAAGGAGTTGCCTATACGCCGCGATGTCAGAATCAGGTATCCCCGCGAAACTGATATAGCTGTGCAAAATGACGTGATCAATACCACCAGCTCCGTCAGATTTGGGAAAGACCTATCCGAGCCGTTTAGCAGCGAACGGGGTTTCAGACAGGGCAACTCCATTTCGTGTGATTTCTTTAATCCACTATTCTAGAAAATAAGAGCCGCAGAACTGAACACCTCAGGAACAATTTCGACATCATCGGTCACAAAAACCGTCTGTTCTGCATTTCCCAAGTTGGATAAGAAGGCAAAGTGAATGGGTCTAGAAGTAACTCCAGTCATCAAACAAACAGCCAGCGTATTCACACCTGGGCACCCATGTCACTTTTGACAGTTATAATTTCGAGAAAGTACACAAGTTCGTTTGCTTCAAGTCCGGATTTTTTTTTCGCGTACAGGGGTTCGAAAATGTTTATTGCATCATCAAAGCTATCAGCACAATAATGGTTTGTCCAGAGACTAAAAAAAATGGTATGTCCGGGACATAAAAATTTGAAAACACATTTCGTTGGCTTAGTGTGCAAACGTGCTGAGTCCATATTTTTTTAATTTTTCAGGATGGACAAAAAACCGTTGAACTTTTTTTGTTGTTTCAGTATCAATAATCGGCCAATTTCAAAATAAAGCTGTTGCAGACTAATAGGCTCTTTTGGAACTTACCACATTTTCTCTTTAAGCATATTGTTGTTCTTTTACCTGTTTTTTTATAATTTTTCATGTTTTTTGTTATTTATGGCTTTAAAACTATCATATTCAACAAGCTTATTGAGCTTGAGGCCGTTTATTTTTTTAATGAAAAACTGTTGTGGAAGAACAACAATAAAAGTTACTAAAAGCCATTTAGTGAAAGGAGTTATTCAAACTCTAATGAAAATTACTAACAATTTGTACTAATTTACTTCGTTTTTAAAAAAGCTTGCCGGCGAATTCAGCGTACATGCATAATTGGTTAGGTATGTATAGGTATCAGTGTTGCCGCGAAACATTTTTAGTGGTAGCTAAATTCCAGCTAANAGTTTTTAAAAGTACCACTTTTCGCCAATTTCGGACTAGTGGGGATCTACTTGCTAACGGCCTACTTCGTTTTTAGCGATAAAGATCTAGTACGGAACAAGAAATTTGATTCACTAATCCGCGGTTTCCCTGCAGGGTTATGACTGCAAAAGTGTATCTCGATAACCACTTTATCGATTTCTAACAAACTACGTTCAATTATACCATTAAGTCTACCTCAGCATATTATCGAAAACGTTTGAAATCGTCCTGCTTATCATACAAAGGTACAATGAAACAATGAAATAAGACTGTATTATTTTATTATTATTTTTAAGACAATAAAATTTATTTAAAATAAATAACTAAATGTTCTAACAATAAAAAAGTAATATTCAACAATTTTATTGAGCTTGATACAGTTTTTTTTAAATGTATTATGGAAGAACAACAATAATTTTAAAATGGTAGAAGTCATAGCTATTTTGGAGATCACTGCATCTCCTCATCAGACTTCTTTCACTGGGACTAGAGACTGATGAGGGGATGTGGTGATCTCCGAAATAGCTATAACTTCTACCATTTTAAAATTATTGTTGTTCTTCCACAACAGTTTTTCATTAAAAAAATAAACGGCCTCAAGCTCAATAAGCTTGTTGAATATGATAGTTTTAAAGCCATAAATAACAAAAAACATGAAAAATTATAAAAAAACAGGTAAAAGAACAACAATATGCTTAAAGAGAAAATGTGGTAAGTTCCAAAAGAGCCTATTAGTCTGCAACAGCTTTATTTTGAAATTGGCCGATTATTGATACTGAAACAACAAAAAAAGTTCAACGGTTTTTTGTCCATCCTGAAAAATTAAAAAAATATGGACTCAGCACGTTTGCACACTAAGCCAACGAAATGTGTTTTCAAATTTTTATGTCCCGGACATACCATTTTTTTTAGTCTCTGGACAAACCATTATTGTGCTGATAGCTTTGATGATGCAATAAACATTTTCGAACCCCTGTACGCGAAAAAAAAATCCGGACTTGAAGCAAACGAACTTGTGTACTTTCTCGAAATTATAACTGTCAAAAGTGACATGGGTGCCCAGGTGTGAATACGCTGGCTGTTTGTTTGATGACTGGAGTTACTTCTAGACCCATTCACTTTGCCTTCTTATCCAACTTGGGAAATGCAGAACAGACGGTTTTTGTGACCGATGATGTCGAAATTGTTCCTGAGGTGTTCAGTTCTGCGGCTCTTATTTTCTAGAATAGTGGATTAAAGAAATCACACGAAATGGAGTTGCCCTGTCTGAAACCCCGTTCGCTGCTAAACGGCTCGGATAGGTCTTTCCCAAATCTGACGGAGCTGGTGGTATTGATCAACGTCATTTTGCACAGCTATATCAGTTTCGCGGGGATACCTGATTCTGACATCGCGGCGTATAGGCAACTCCTTTTTGTACTGTAGAATTCGGCTTTGAAGTCGAAAAATAGGTGGTGAGTGTCAATATTTTTTTTGCGGGTCCTTTCCAAGATTTGGCGTAAGGTGTAGATGCCAGGTCTAGAGCCACACTGATAAGGCCCAATCAGTTCGTCACGATGGGCTTCAGTCTTTCATAAAATACGCTCCGGTAAGATATTGTAACCTATGCATAGAAGGCTGATGACGTGGTAGTTGGCGCGTATAGCGGGGTTGCCTTTCTTGTGTGTTGGACAGAGCACACTTAAATTCTAGTAGTGGGGCATGCGTTGATCTGACCATTTATGCATACGAGTTGATGCATACACCTTATCAGATCCTCCCGGTCGTACTTGAATAGCTCAGCTAGCAGGCTGTCAGCTCAACCAGCTTGTTGTTTGTCAGCCGCGTAATTCCTATTCGTACCTCCTTCTAGTCCGGCGGTGGAACATCGACTACATCATCATCGACAGTTGGTTCGAGTTTTTCTTCTCCACTATATTCAGTGCTACTGCCATTAAATAGTGTTCCCTCCATAAATTGAGTATGTTCTGGACATCGATCACTAGGTCGCTATGGTTGTTCTTACAGTAGTTCGCCCCGGTCTTGGAACCTTCCGTAAGTCGCCTAACTCTTAGGTAAAATTGTTGGTCGTTTTTCCTGTTTTGAGCTCTTTTCACTCACGTGTTTCGGCCTCTTTCTTTTTATTGCGGCAAATATGTCTTCCCTCTTCAGTTCTCTTTACCGGTCTCACATAGTTCACGTGGCCCTGTAGGCGATATCTTTCTTCTCTGCAGCTGCGTTACATCCGTCATCGTACCAGTTGTTCTCTCGGGTCCCTGAAATCGGACTACTTCCTTGGTAGCGGTGTGTAATTAGTGGGTAATGTGGCGTAACTGCTCGCATATGTCGATTTCCCAACGGTGCCCTGCTAAATGGGGTCCATCTACAATATGCATTGCGTAATTCATACAAATAATACATTAAAAATCGCAGACCAAGCAGACTCCCTACAATGTGCATTACAATTCAGAAACGAGTACTTAATTGTAATGAACGCCCGAAGAGTATTCGGTCACATCCTACTTCCCGATTAGAAACAAAACCAGGATGTAACGGACGCTAACCACAAAGCGACCATACTTATAGAAAAGTAATCGAGTTTGTAATCGATTCACTCCGGCATACTGGCCACGAGGTAATCAACACTTGTAATCGAAAAGTATGATGTGGCCGAATACTCTTCGGGCGTTCATTGCAATTATGTATCCGTTTCTAATTGTAGGCAGTCTGCTTACAATGTACATTACAATTTTAAATTGGTCAGCGATTTTTTAATAAAATATTTGTATGAATTACGCAATGCATATTGTGGATGGACCCCATTTAGCAGTGCGGCCCTGGGTTTGTTTAAGAGTGCTCTCTGAGGGCGGGTGTGTGAGTGTAGTGGCGAAAACATTGGCTGTTTGTTGTGACTGCAGATTTTCGATGTTGAGGTTTCCTTGAATTTTTTGCTGCACAAAGATGGGTGCATGGGTTTGGACCTCGGAGTGTAATTATGTACATCTGAAACATTGGAAGCGTGCCTTCCGTCTATTACAACATGTCCGATTTAGTTTCTCGTTTTTCGATCTGCAGTGGGGCCTAAAAGCACGCAACATAAAAGCAACAGACGGAACATGTAATCAGCCAAAGCTGGTAGTATGAGGGGTATGTAACAAGGTGTCTCATGTTGTTAGGCGCGTCTGCTATTTTTTTGGAGGATTTTAGCGATCAAAATTAGCGATAGTGAATGCTATAATCCGGCAGCTGGAGAATTTTCCGACGTTAGTTCCAAAGACCCCTTCCTTGCCGACCCTGTCATTGAAGTCGCCAAGCAGGATTTTTCTATCGTGACGGGGGCAGCGCTCGAATGTGTTATCCAACTATTACTATTCATTAAAATACTTTAAGAACAAATACTTTACGCGCTCATATAATAAAAGGTCTAAAAAAACAAAGACATCGGAAAAATATCTATACGAAAAATACGAAAAAAGTGAATTCTTTGTCAAACAATTGAATCTGTTTATTTATTGTATATTTTATTATCTCAAGCAAATACCAATTTCTACCGATTCAAGTTAAAATATTCAAGATGCCTGAGATACTTAATACTATACCGCCGCTATCATTGACCATTGAGAATCTAAGCGAAACGGATGGTATCGCCACCGATCGCTCGACCACTCCAGATAGCGCTACGCCTAGTACAAGTGGTAGCCGGAGACCTTCCCTTGAGCACATGATTAAACGGAATCCACATCAAGCGAGCAGCGCGCAGAATAAGAAGACACGCAGATCTATTTTTCGGCGGAATCAGAAGAAGGCGCCATTAAAAGTTGGGTGAGTTGAAAACATCTATTCGTATTAGATGCCCAGTGGGAATATTTCCCCCAAAGTGAAGTTTTAAGTTAAACACCTGCCGTAGCTCACTCGTTGGCATTAATTTGTAAACAACAAGTCCACAGAAATTTCAATCAGTTTTCCTATTATATTGTTCAGTTTTTCGACACTGAAAATTTCAAAAGCAATATATACAAAAATTTTCGGTTTTCCTTGAGCAACTGAATTGCAATAAAATTTCGACATTGATTCGCTAATCCGATTCAAATTGGCGCATATAATCGCAATAAGAAGACACATTTTAAAAATAAATTATTTCAGAAAAAACTTGTCTCGTAAACTTATTTACTCCTAATTTTGCTCTCCATCAAACACCCCGACCATTTTCATCACATCTAATGTACCACATAGTTCACCACAAAAGTGCACGACTGCCATCTGCCAGAAATCTCAAATTCCTCGTGCCTTGTTGCTCACGCGGTCCTCGTCGTCAGCATCGCTTATCACCAACGTTTCGCGCAATATATCAGCAGAGTCAAATGCCAAAGAAGATAAAGTTGAGAGCAAGACTTTAAAACCAGTCGCTGCAAACGCTTTTGATGTACAGCCACCACACACCACCGCTGATAACTTGGTCGTAGCCCACCAACACAGCGGCAGCAATATTTTCACTAACATCGACATTGTAGCGACAACCTCAAAGACCCCCGCCACCCAGGTTTCTTTGCAACGACAGTATACAGCTGCCGTACTCAATTTCCAAATCCGTAAATCTGTTACACAAATGGATTTGAAGCGCACACGACGTGACTACCTCAAGAACCGCCAAGTGCTAGCTTCGACGCAGTCACCATCTATAAGTGGACTCTCGCAGGGCTCCAGAGCTTTGATGGCGAATGATAACAACGCCGATATAGCTGGCGTGATGGGAGCCTCAAGTCAATCATCACTGGTGAACAAAATTTTCGACCAAAACAGTTACTATTACGTGATACAGGATCAAAATTCTAAGGTTGCTGGCATGCGCATTTTCGCAACCATTATGCTGAACGCTTGGCGGAAACGCCGTGACGAGGTTAAACGTCTTATGGAGGAAGTCAACGATCTGAAGCGTGGTGTAAGTCGCTTGTGTTTTTATGGCGATCCTCTGGTCTCTTTAATTTCCCCTTTCGGTGTTTTTTTAATTTCTCTAACTGTAGTCAATAAAAGCCAAAAACCAATTACACGTTTTCAATACACTCTTTCGCGTTGAGCAAAAACGGAACGATGATCTCAGTCTTCAGTTGAAACGCTCTCTAGACGATATCAATAATACAAAATCTTCTTGCGAGAGTCTCACCACTTCGCTTATCAGTCTAAAGGCGGACAAAGCATTGCTCGAACAGCAGATTCAAATAAAAGAACAGGAATTTGATGGTATCAATGCGATACTAACCCAGACTAAATCCGATTTATTTAAAGCTATGACCCAACAACGAGAGCTGCAGGCTAATTTGTCTACCGAGCAACGCAAGGTGCAGGCGTTAGAAGCACAGAAAAACGAGCTGATTAACGAGGTATCTTATTGTTGTAATGAACAAGTTTTTCCCTCGATTAGCCTGCTGCTCTGTAATTTCAGATTTGCGAAATTAACAACGAATCATTGTGGAAGGAGGAGAAACTACGGACTGAGATGAAAGAGAAAGATGATGCTGTGGCAATGGCGTTGACTAAGATCGAGTCACTCGAATTAGAGATCTCTGCGCAGAGACAGTGAGTATTTTTTTCTACATAATTTCACCAAATCTACCAAATACGCAAACATCTTGACAAAACTAAAGTCTCAGAGATACTGCAATGAAAGATTGATAAGTCCATGTGTAGAATATATTCCGATGTCACATCATTCCTCGTTTCTGTCAAAAGCAGCATACCTAATTCTTACAAAAGTGGGTCAGTGTCTCACACTCTTCAAGGCAGCAGGGGTAATGGCAGCTGTCAGGCACCCCCCTAAAATTGTGCATATGGAAACTGTGCATACGAAATAATGCATATGAAAAAAGCCGAAATAATGCATATATGCACCGTTTCGGTTGAAAACAGAAATAATGCTTATGAAAAAAACCGAAATAATGCACAGTTTCGGTTGAAAGCCGCAATAATGCTTATGAACAAAAACCGAAATAATGCACAGTTTCGATTCAAAGCCGAAATAATGCATATGACAAAAACCGAAGTAATGCATACATGCACAGTTTCGGCTCAAAACCGAAATAATGTATATGACAAAAAACGAAATAGTGCATACCTGAAAACGAACTTCTTTCTGCGAAGGCGGCCTTCGGCCGCGCTTAGGGATTATAACACTTACTAAGTAGAATTTTCATTCTGTGTTGCCGGAAAAGGGAGGAGGGAGCCGAATTATTTTTGCGCAGAACTTCTTTTTGCGTAAGGGGCCTTCGGCCGCGATTAGGGATTATAAACCTTACTAAGTAGAATTTTCCTTACTGTGTTGCCGGAAAAGGGGGGTGGAAGAATTTTTGTGCAGAATTTCTTCCTGCGTAGGCGGCCTTCGGCCGCGCTTAGGGATTATAACCCTTACTAAGTAGAAGTACATAATTCATAGTGGAAAAAAACGAAATTATCCATATGCACACTCTCGTTAGGAAAACTGAAATAGTGCATATAACAAAAACCGAAATAATGCATATGTAAAAAAACGAAGTAATGCATACATGCACACTTTCGGTAGAGACAGTCTGACAAAGCGCTAGTTCTGAAATACATATCTCAGAACTATCTCTGAACTAGTGCATAAAGAATGTAAAGCGGGGCAGTTGAAACCTACCGTGTAAATGTGCAAATGCTCATATAATACGAAAGTAGCTCAGCGAGAATACCCCGACTCAACCATCGTTGGTCGCGGGTTCAAATCGCGGTGGAGGCAGTTGTGAGATTTCAAATTTAATGAATTTAAATTGTTGCGTGTAGCTTACAATTTTTTTTAAATAAAATATGTAACAAAAGCGGAATCTGTAAAAGAAAAAATGTTAAAAAATCGAATCTCAAAAACGTTTTCTTATAACAAAAACTGTCCAAAATGGAACCGGTTAAAAACTAGTTGCAAAGTAATGCACTGGGCGACAATTGCCACCGCCAATGACATCGCCGTGTAAAACTGGACAGTCGAAAGCATTGCTTGGGTATTGAGCTAGAACTGGTACTGTCGGCAAAAGGTCTAATTCTAGGCTAGTCAGATTTTCTGCAGGGTGCATATGAAAAACCCGAAGTAATGCATACATGCAAAGGTTCGGTTGAAACCCGATATAATACATATGAGAAAATATCGAAATTATGCATATGCATACTTTCGTTTTAAAAGCGAAACAATGCATATGAGAAAAAAGGAAGTAATGCATACATGCACAGTTTCGGTTGAAAATCGAAGTAATGCATATGGCTAAAACCGAAATAAAGCATGCATGCAGAGTTTCGGTTTAAACCGAAATAATGTCTAAATGCACAGTTTCCATATGCACAATTCCGGTGCCCCGAGCTGTCGTGTGCACCTGCATCCCTAGATGCGTCCCAATCATTTCTGAGCCTTTTCTAGCCAAATGGTCATGTATCTTATTTACAGGTACTAACTTGTGACCGGGAGCCAGAGTAAAACAACCTCGGTATATGTACATATGACCGTTCAAGTTTAAGAAGAGTAGGTACAATTTTACCGACTTTTACATCACTATTTCGCACCACATCGACCCCTAATTGCGATTTTATCGTAAGCGACCAATTGTTGCAAATAGGTTGCAAATACTAATCACAACGTCCTACAATAGGTTTGTTACAAACAGCCCAGAAAGCGTTCCTCACGCTAGAAAAATGGGTAATAGAGAGCGAATACCTTCCACTTTTGAATCGTAAATGTCTTCTTCTTTGTGCCCGAAACAGCCCCGACTTTTTTCCCGGGCAGAAATGTGCAAGAAGTAAATTTGAAATGACAGCTGTTGTTTGTTTACATCTGATAGTAAAGTTTGTAAAATACAAAAATGGAAAATAGCACTAAAGGGTCAGAAATGTATGTATTTGCTAATTTTACGGCTATATAAGATAAATGCACATAAAATCATTGTTCAGAACTGATTTGTTGATTGTGGGCACGAAAAGTGTTTTTTTGCGTTCCTCACGCTCTGGGCACTTTTGGCACGGGTTTACACATTTTTGACACTTTGAGAGAGAAAGTGTGTGGAACAAACTTATTATTACAGACTATGAATATTTACCGTTACGGAAAAAAGCAAAATTAATTTTATCGTTAGCTTTGTTTACACTTTTGAGTTCCTAAAATTTTATCGTAAGCGACACTGTTTGTACAGAACTTGTAAATAGCAGTTTGAACTCTAGTTCTAACTAAAGTTCCATCGGCACTTGCTACAACCGAATGCTTCAAAATCAGCTTCTTTCCCTCATCAAAATTTAGTGCAATCTGCCATTATGCAATTGAAGCTGCAATCACTAAGTGCGGCGTGGCTCGACGAGCGGGGTCTTTTTTGAAACTCTTGCTTTGCCAAGGGTTTATAAGATTTAAAAGCAGATCAGAAAGACGAAAAACAGACACCTTACGAATTTTCGCCCGAAAACGGATTTTCCATACTAAATATTTCGAAATCGAATTGAAATATTTAATTTTCGGATTTCCATATTCGGTTTACGAATATGACCCACTACACTGAGAAAAAAATGCGTTGTAAAAATTAAATTTTTTATTTGATTACCGTTTAAAGATGTTCGTATTTAAATCAAGTGATAAGTGTTCAAAATTGAATATTTCCATTATACATGCACTACATATAACGGAAATATTCAATTCAAATACACCCGTATTAAAATGAAACATTTTTCACTGCACAGATGGCGTTTTGCACGTCTCGGATGCTTTTTCATATGTAATTAAGAAAGTAGGTATATGTATACAAAGCATGCACAGCGGTGACAACACATACACACATTCACACATACATGCTACATGTTTATCTGTACATATGCACTAATCGCGCGCTGTGATGTGGATTCAAACTCAACATTTAAAAAGACATTTACATGTATGTATGGCTGTAGCTGAGTGTGCGAAGACGCTTGATACAATTGGTTGCTGCCAATAGTGTCCGGGTTCAATTACCATCAGGCGGAACATACAATTAATTTTTTTTCTTAATTACGAAAAAGCATATGTGCCCTTCACAACGACATATTTTATAACTTACATACTCAAATTTAAAACGAGTGGGGTTGGTGCTCTTTCATATGCGTATTTTTTTTAATTTAGCACGTTTTTTTCATTCTAAAATTTTTTTCCCTCAGTGTACGTAATCCAAATTTGATTGCCAGAGTTACGCGAAAATCGGAAAAGTGATTCGAAAGCGTTTGAGCTAATGGATAACATGTACCGGCGTAAGAAAACACAAAAAAATTTAAAATAATGAATGCAATGTAACATTTTTGAATAGTTTTTCAAAAGATTTACTAAGGACAAAAAGCAGTGCTACTAGATCAAAAAATTTTAAGGTCACGTCTTACTCGTCTGGGCGCTTGTTGATGTTGATCTTATACATGCATACTGATGGAAATGCACAATATAAATATTCACATATTCTCATACATATCACTTGATTTCTGCAAGAGGGTCATAATCACGGTTGCCAACTGTCCCGGATTTAAAACCTATGTCCCGGTGCCGGTACAACACATGGCGGGACGCGAAATTACCCGGTTTCTGGCGAGAAAAAAAAAATTAGATATCTCGTTGTAAAAGCTCGTAAAATATGTACACTGCCGGAAAAAAAAATATGACACAGCAAACTTTTCACAATATATGCAAAAATTTTCATTATAATTTTCCGCTGATTTCGTATAAAAATATGGTTCATTCTACAACAAAAAACATCAAAATATAATTCCTAATCTTTGTGCAAAACTTTTTAATCAGATTTTTTAGAATCTGTAGCCCAATCAATTTTATTATAATAAAGTGCAAGTTTCAAGGAGCTAGGAATTACCGTTGATTTTTGGAAATTTTTCTTCACGCAGTCTCTTCCATATAAAATTTTTTTTCGAAAATACTTTATATGGAAAAAATGCAAAACACATTCACAAAAAAGTTCTCAAAAATCAGAGCGATTTTTGATTAACTCCGAACTTGCATTTTTTTACTAGAATTTAATGGGCTGCAAAACTGCATACTCAAAAAAAATCTAAAAAATCTGATTAAAAAGTTGAAAGTTTTGATGAAAATTTGATTTGCACAAAGTTTAGGAATTATATTTTTATATTTTTTGTTGTTGAATGAACCATACTTTTATACAAAATTGGCGGAAAAATATTAGAATAGAAATTGTTACATATATTGTGAAAAATTTGCTGTGCCAATACTTTGTTCAGAGTTCGATTAATCAAATTATTTGAAATAAGAAGAAAGGGGGTTTAATCACGTTTACAACGATACCAATTTTTTAAAAATCAGTTAAAAATTGTTTGAAATATAAGGTTTTTAATTTTTCGAAGACTCGACCTTATAGCACCTGTATAAGTTTGCACAAACTAAGGTTATATGCCATTTAAATAAGAGCAATAGGCGGACTACGTCTATATATTTAGTTTTTTAGTTATTTACATATAATAATAAAAAATAATTTTTTACCAAAGGCCCTATTTCGAACTTCGAAGGCACATATCTCGATTTCGGAAGCTAACTTCGAAAAACGTAGAAATAA